CGTCCGCCACGCCCACGTCCGCCACGCCCACGTCCGCCACGCCCACGCCCGCCACGCCCACGCCCCACCCTGCTGGGCTGTGCCCTCTCACTCTTCCAAATTCGTCACCCAGGATCTGAAAAAAGGAGCAAAAAGCAAAACCTGCAAACATGAAAACAAAGCCACGCATAATCTACAAAATACAGAACAAAGGCATAATCAAATCAAGTGAATTTTAAAAGCAGACGTGCACATTAAAAGGGTGACCAATGGACAGCTGAAGCAGAGTCCCCCTCTTGGCCACAGCTGGATGGAGGGGACCTTGGAGCAGTCCCAAAATCTCCTAAGAGGTCTTGTGTTTTAATAAAGATTTGCTGTCGCCTTAAATTAGCCTTTAACCACTCGCCCTCCTCATATGGGTCTCTCAGCTACCAAAAAAAAAGTGAATAAAATATAAAATACCTAATCCTTTCGCTTTAACTTCAAGAGGCAAAATAAACTGGTCTCTCACAGTGGGACATCAAGAAGTCGCCCACAGTGTGCTAGAGCCAAAAGAGGGAACTGACAAAGCTGCTCAGGCATGAGCAAAGTGGGGCGAAATTGCATGGCAACGGCGAGCTTATTCTATCAAGGACAAAGGGAAAAAGAACAAAGCACGTAGAGAGGAAGAGAAGAGACTCCTCACAACAGCATCGTGCAACGGTGCAATTTGATATGAACGTGAATTCAGTCGTTTGAAAACGTAGACGGGATGATAAAGGTGAGAATGAAATGAAAGGGGGAGTCTGGATTTTAGGGATGAATAAAGCAGCATGTCACAAACCAGAAGACCTGAATAGCTGTGGCTGAGACTCTGTCACCATCTGCAGCGCATGGGAAAGGAAAGGCCGAAGACACTGCACCATCAGAAGTGGATAGACTTGAGGGATGGGCACAGCCGAACTGGAGGGGCAGAGAGCCAGTGTGGTGTGGACTCAGAAAGAGCATACAAAGAGCTGTCCCGAAACGCGAAGGAAACTGCACCTGGGAGTCCAGAGCACACACTGATACTGCTTACCCTCCTCTACCCACTCTTAATGTCAGCATGTCTTTTAGTTACAGCACCAAAGCTTAGGACCCCAATTCTTGGGGAGCGTTAACTGGTTTTCTGCAAAGAACATTTAGCTTCAACCTAGTAACAAGCAATCAGATAAATCCAAATTAAGGGATATTTTGGAAAGCATCTGGCTTGATTCTTAGAATGATTGATAGTACAACATAGAAAGAAAGGAAAAGCTGGAGATGGTGCCACGTGCTTGTAATCCATCACATGAGAGGCTGAAACAGGAGTATTGAGAGTTCCGTACGACTGCCTCAGTACACACACACACACACACACACACACACACACACACACACGATAGCAAAGGATGGGGAATTGTTGAAATGAAAGGAGGGTGTGGTAGACAAAGACAGGAGTGTTATGGGTTCAAGGCCAGCATTGACCACAGAGAGAGTTCTAGGCCAGCCTGAGTTTGAAATTTTGTCTCAAAAAAAAAAAAAAAAAGAAAGAAAGAAAGAAAGAGAAAAAGAAAAAAACAAAACTCATCCCAAACACCCACAATCTCCACAATCTCTCTCTCTCTCTCTCTCTCTCTCTCTCTCTCTCTCTCTCTC